GTCTAGTCACGACTTTGTGGGTTTCTTAGGTGTAGAGGTTAACATAAGTTACTCCTTAATACGCCGTTAACAGATTCCTATGTACCGGATACTGCAACTTAAAAAAAAAAAAAAAAAAAATTAATAAAAATTTAGCGAGAATGATTATTTAAATTTCCTTAAAAAATTTTACTTCAAAACAAATTATTAATTATTTTATATGTAAAACTGATGGAATAAAAAAAAAAGTTTGATTCATTAATTTAATCAAAAATTAAGTAAAAAAAATTTGGATAATTAAAAAGAATGTAAAGGGAAATAATAAAAAGATTAGAGAATGATAAAGGACAAAGGTAAGGAAAAACGAACAAGTTCAAAAAGAATATTATTTACAAAAATGAAATTGATAGTCTGAAAAGAATGAGAATCAGAAAGGAAAAATAAATAACCGAATAAGAACAAAAGCAAAGGAATAATAAATCTATGCTTTGGACTGCTGAGAACGAAACGTGATTAATTATAAAATTTTATAACTCAAAATTTCACATTTTTTAAAAATACATTTTGTCGTTTCGCTACAATACATCTCATCTATCCTACAATTATTAAATAAATTAAGGGAGTTCTTTTTTAATATACAATAAATCCTTCAAAATTTCTTCATAAGGCACAAAATATACATCTTTCTTTAATGCACACCAAGCTTATACACAATCTCCCCGAGTACATCGTTCATGTATAGACTAGTTAGAGTCTTATGATGCTACTCTGTTGAAGAATTTGAGATGTTGGCACTATTACAAACATTTGGATCTCTCACTCCATTAGCATGAAGTAAATCCAACATCATTTCCGCTTGTTTTCGTTTTCCGTATAATTTCCCTTCTCTTCTTGCGGTTGCCAAATAATGTGCTGCTTTAAGATGATGTCTTTCCTCGGCAGCCCGAATCCACCCTACAGAATTTTCTATCCTTATGTATTGAATTGCTGCTCCAAATATCGTTGCTGTAACTACGAATGCTGCAAAGTAAGGGTTAGACATAAATCTCTCTGTTGTAGAAAATTCGCCCTTGTACGTATCATTATCTGCTTCCCATCCTTGATAATAAGCATAATTTGATCCAAACTTTGATCCTTTTGAAAATCGACTTGCGGGGTTTTTAGCCACCGGCGAATCCCATCCAACTCCATATCTAAGGTACATCTCTTTTTTTTGTCGATTATTCAAAATCTCGTATGCTTTCACCACTTTTCGAAATCGTTCCAATGCAGCTGGTGAATTATCCCCACATTTATCTGGATGATGTGTTTTGACTAATTCATAATATCTACTTTTTATTTCTCCTTCGGACGCTGTTCTTGGTAATGCGAAAATATCAAAAGGTGTGGGTGATAGTATTGTTGTCCAATCCCTTTGTGCGTCATTAGTTGTAGCGTAATAGCGTTCGTGTTTGTCGTTGAACGTTTTCCTTAAAACGGAATGTACTTCAATTCCTTTAGAAGGACGTTTTGTCGAAAATTGTTTTGGCTTTGGTACTAAAACTCTGAAAGACATCTTTTAAAACTTGCATTTGCTGGACCGTCTTGTCGGTTTAATAACCTATCCGGTTCATAGCGCATTAGTAAAAAAAGTGCCAATTAAAAATCACAAAGCGCTCGTTAAAGTTAAAATTTAAACTGGTTAAAATTTACGTCACATTATTAAGATTAGTAATGTTGAAGTATATTAATCATCTGTTACACAAACACCACACAAAAAACATCTATAAAAAAAACTCGAATATGAAAAAAAACCGATCAATACAAATTTCCTGCCCTGCAAAATTTTTAGTAAAAATAAAATGCGTCCAAAATCCAAGAAAGATACGGGGCTCGGAAAAGCCATTATCAAAGATCGTTTTAAAGGAAATACAAGGCCAAGAGACGGAGATACTTTCTTGGTATTTACCTGTTCCGTTTCTCATTTGAACTTCTTCCAATGCATATAATTCGAGTATTCATAAAAAAAAATTTAAACAAATAGCATACAACGGATTTGGATGATGGAGCGAGTTGGACAAAATTACAATCTATAACTCAGCAGCGAGATTTGGACGAATTCTTGAGTACAGCTCAATTGGCGGGAACTCAGTTTACTGCTGGTAAATTTTTTTTTCATCATTGATTCTTTCTGTTATTTTCTCAACATTTAATTGAAAGACAATGTGAAATAACTTCAAATGTTATAAAACTGAAGGATGATGTCAATTCTTCGAATTGACATAATTTATTATTATATAATTATAATTATAATGATTATAGAAAGGTTGAATATCAAAGTGATCACAAACACCTATCATAATCCTTTTCTTCTAAGTTTCGAAAAAGAAAAGGAAGTTTTAGCAAGACAAGAGGCTAATAAAGAAAAATTAGTAATACCAAGAAGGTATTGAAATCAAAGAATTCATATTTGCTCTTAATTGAAAATCATTGCTTATTTACATCCTTTGATTCTATTAGGCCAAACTGGGATCAAACCACTACTCCTAGTCAATTAGAACTGAACGAAAGAGATGCGTTTTTACGGTGGCGGCGTAACTTAGCATTGTACGTAATCATCATTAATCTTACATCCGTGGAAACTTAAATTTTTAATCTTGTAAAATAAATATTAAATAGCCTTCAAGAGCAAGATGAATTTCTTTTAACACCATTCGAGCGTAACCTAGAAGTATGGCGTCAACTCTGGCGCGTGATTGAGAGATCGGATTTGGTGGTACAGATTGTTGATGCAAGGAATCCATTATTTTTTCGATCAACGGACTTGGAAAAATACGTTAAAGAAGTTGATAAAAATAAGAAAAACTTGTTATTAATTAATAAAGCAGATTTATTAACTGCCAATCAAAGGTGAATGTTTTCCAAGGTCAAGTGGTTATCAGTTGAGTAACCTATAATTAGACTTATGTCGTCAACTCTGTAATTTACTTCAAAAGGCAACTTTGGTCAGATTACCTTGATTCGCAAGGTATTCGATATATTTTCTTTTCCGCTGTTCTTGCACAAGAGAACCTCGAAAAGGAACTGTTGGAAGTATCTGCTGATAATGTACCTGAATTTAATGATGGCAGCGATAATGAGAAGGTAATGACCGGTAAAATGAATATCCCTTTCCTCACAAATACGAATTACTGATTTTTTTCATATTGGAAAAGGAGAATGTGGAGACTTCTCCTAACGACAATATTTATAAAGTCATGCCCGAATTCCGAGATAATGAAGATGCGAAAGACGACGCGATTGAACATTCAAAAGCTGCTTCTTTGGAAGATCGATATTCTAAACACATCGATAATGAAAAAGTTTGTATTAGAACGACTAAGGACTTGGTTTCTTTACTAGTTGCTGAGGCGGCAGACGTCGAAGGTAACCCTTTAAATATAACAACATTCAAATATTATCATGAAAGTTTAAATTATAACGATCTAATATACGATCCTTCTCTAATAGATCAAACTGAACCAGATAAAAAACTAACAATTGGTTTAGTTGGATATCCAAATGTTGGTAAATCTTCAACGATAAACGCTTTACTAGGAGAGAAACGAGTATCGGTCTCATCAACTCCAGGAAAAACCAAACACTTTCAAACCATTCATCTTACACCCTCACTAGTTTTATGTGATTGTCCCGGATTAGTATTTCCAAATTTTGCTACGACAAATGCTGATATGGTTTGTAATGGAGTATTACCAATCGATCAATTAAGAGAACACACCGGTCCTGCGGCATTAGTTGCGCAACGAATACCAAAATCTGTTCTTGAAGCCATTTATGGTATCAAAATTCGTATTAAAGCAACGGAAGAAGGTGGAAATAATATACCAACAGCGGAAGAACTGCTGGTTGCTTTTGCAAGTAAGGGTTTATCGTTTAAAGTACGGTAGATGATTAAATGTAGTTTTAGTAAACATTTTAACTATAATGGTATTTTAGCCGCGAGAGGATTTACGAAATCGGGACACGGAAATCCTGATGAATCACGAGCAGCACGTTACATACTCAAAGACTACGTTAACGTACATATCGGAATTTTTTTTTTGTTTTATATTTACGAATTCGACATGCTTTTTCTCACGTTTAATGTTTTTTTACATGTAGGGCAAACTTCCATTTTGTCACCCGCCACCAACTGGAATATCATCAGAGAAATTCAACTCAGAGTTACATAACGTAGAATTATATATAAAAAATAAAAAGAAAATCAAATCCATCATAACACAGGATGGAGATGATATATCATCATCGATTGCGAATCAAATAAATATTGGTACACAATCAAAAGCACTTGATCAATCATTTTTTGGTGATCCAGCACCATCACCAAAAGTCAAAGGGAAATTTGCTGGTGAATTTAGTAGAGTTAAATTATATCCTATTCATAGCACACTTAATGATGAAGGAAAACCAATTGGTAGAGGTGGGGCAACTTCTCTAGCTGGTGTGATTGCACAATCTGGTAAAAAACATCACAAAAAAGGAAGGAAGAACGTAAAGAATCATGGTGCAAATGGTTACGATATTTAATCAGATCAATTTTATAGTAAATAGTATTTAATGGTTGGGTGGTCTGATAAAATATTTATTCAAGTGAAAAACGAACTTCGATTAAAATAAATGGAACGAATCAAATTTTCTTTATTCACATTTTGATTCCTCATATGATGTGAAACTACCAATGGCATTTCCAAAGCATAATTAGATGGTTTCCTGGCACTTGTCCACCAAATATTTTCTGATTGAATGATTATATGGGTCTTTTTCAATTATTTTTTTTTCTTTTCCGCTGGTTGTTTTCTTGCGACTTGTTTTATTCTTTATACCGATATCTTTATTAGACCGTTTCATTTTATTTGATGTTGAATGATTAGTAGTATCGTTCGTATCTTCAAGTCCAGGCCAAGTACAATTATCAATTTGATCAAAGGAAATCAATCCTTTGTCATAAAGGATTTGTCTAGCAGGTTTCCAATGCCATCTTACGATCGAAGGATAAAAACCGAGATGATGTGGATAAACATTTCTTTTTAACCATCGCTTGGTTTTTTCATTAGGATAACCAGATCCGTAATCGTACAAGTCGGGATCATTTAAATCGGTTTCAATAAAGCTCCAGTCTCTTAATATATGATCTCGCGTGATTTTAGCGCAAATACTTGCTGCGCTTACAATAGGAAATTTATCGTCAGCGGCCTTTTCAACGACTATTGTTTGTTGAGGAAATTGTGCTTGAAGTAAATTTTGGTATTTTTCTGGTGATCCAACTGTATCAACATAAATTTTTTCAACATTTACTTTGGTATTGATGATTTCACGTATTAGTTTTATAGTTGATGAGTGAGATTGTTTGTTGAGGTTTATATTATCTCGCACAGTCAATGCTGAAATGTCTTGAGGTGATAAACAATGTACTCCCCATCCAATATCATCTTGATTTGTTATCATTCGTTGAAGTAATGATTCTCTCGTTTGTTCGTTTAATTTTTTACTATCTTTATATTCTAAGTCTATCAACTTTTCGTATTTGGAGATGGCACAGTACGTAACTCCAAAACACATAGGACCGAGGACTGGTCCTCGGCCAGCCTCGTCGACACCAAGAACGCATGGTTCTTGTGTCATCAATAGCGTTTTTGGTGTTGGTGAGTAATACGTATAGGATTCAGTCATAGGTCCAGTACGTACTGAAGGAAATTTATACACTTTCATTCTTGTCTAAAACATTACCTGAATTAAAAAAATAAAAAATAAAAATAAAAAAATTTTAAATTATTATTTTTTGGACGTGTAGATTCGCGATATACGCTTCCAGTGGATGAATTCCTACATTCAAAACTCACGGGACAGCCGATAATCTCCGATAACATTTATAAGGATTCGGATGTGCATCTATACTCGGAACACTGATCCCGAACGTCCGATTGGACAGAATTTTATCTTGTTATTGTCGTACCGAGAATTCGCGTAATAAAATCGTCACGTAACGAGTTGTGACTTGCCCAAAAACTTGATTATTTAAGCTTGTCTCAAATACTCAGGAGCCATCACCTTCTTTTTACGTTCACTTCTTGTGTCGAGGAAACCGACAAACTGCATTTACATCACTACACTAATGAAAAAGTATCGCCATAATTGGTGGAAAACCGTTAACATTGCACCAGAAAATCTAACTTTCCATCCGGCAAAAAGCAAAGAATCGGACGTATACTGGGTGTCACTTTTAAAATCTCAAGCGTATAAAGGTGGATTTGACGTATCACGAGCAGAAGTGTATGTCAAGAATAAATTAGAAAATTATGGCTTCGATGTTCAAGAAAAGCTCAAGAAATCCTTGATAACTGGAAGGTAATATATTAATGTTATATTTGTGTAATAGATTATTCTGAACCCTTTGTTCGACGTTTGGTGCAAGCTGGACTCTTTGTCTACAGTGATGAACTTTTAGTTCGACACTTAACGCAAACTGATTGTTTTTGTATTCAGAAGTCTTTGTTCTATGTTGTTATTTTGAAACGTTCATGTGATTATTATTAATCTCGGACCTTTTTTTACAATCTTCATCAAAGAATTTATACAAGTTTAAATTCGCACAAGAAAGAAATCAAGAAGAAATTCTTGTGAATTTTATGCGGATACCATTGGAGTTGATTGAAAGAAATCAAGTATACGATAAGTAGAGATGCGGCCTATATCCGCGGATAACAAGAAAGAAATCAAGAATTCGAATTTTTATCCGCCAAGTAGAGACGCGGCGGACAACAAGAAAGAAATCAAGAAGATTCGAATTTTTATTCGTCAAGTAAAGACGCGGCGGATAACAAGAAAGAAATCAAG